GAGAGACAGAGAGAGAGAGAGAGAGAGAGAGAGAGAGAGAGAGAGAGAGAGAGAGAGATTGTTTCTCAGTGGTGTTTCCAGGCTGTCCGGTAACTCTTTCACCGCTATGGTTTGGTAAGGCTTGGCTGCAGGGACCTCGGTGGCCTTGGGCTCCACTTCGGGGACTTTGGCCTTGGAAGTGGGCCCTTCCATGGCTGCAGGGGCTTCCTTGGAGGAGGGGGCAGCCTTGGAGCTGCTGGGTTTTGAATCTGAAGCCGGGACCCAGTCACTTTTAGTCTGCTGGGTGGCAGGAGCCTCAGTCTTTTTGAGTTCTCTTTCCTCTCGGCTCTCAGGGGTGCCTGCCTCAGCCGCCTTGGAGGCCTCACCACCTACAGCATACCCGGGCTCAGTGGGCTCCTGCTCAGCTGCCACGGCCCCAAGCTCCGCTTGCCCCTCAGCGGTGCACTCGCTGCTCTTTTCCGGCTCAGCCTTGGGCGCCTCCTCCTTGGACGCAGCCGCTGTAGCCGAGTCACCCTCATTGGCCTCAGCCTTGCTCTCGGCGTCCTTCTCGGCGTCCTTGTCCTTGTCCGGCTTCTCTGGCTCCTGGGACTCAGCATCTGTGCCCTCGGCTTTCTTGTCCTTGTCGTCGTCCACACTGTAGCCCTTCTTCTTCTTGCTGAGCTTGCCTCCCATTGTAGCCTTCGGCTCCGGGTGCCTGTGCTGCCCTTGAGTGAGCGCGGTGCAGCCAAGGGGCCTGGGTGGCGGGCGTCTTCCTGCCGGGTGCCTGGGTGCAGGCGAGGGCGCTCTGGGCTCTATGGTGAAGCCCACAGCGAAGAGCCAGTGGGAATGCAGCTGCCACCGCCGTCGCTGCTGTCGCTACTGCCTCACGGCTGTCACTACTGCCCCAGATGCCCATTTTTGGATTGGGTCCTTAAATTTTGGTGTCCTGTTTTTTTTTTTTTTTTTTTGAGAGAGTTTTATATAGTAAGATATTAGAAATTTATCTGAGGAACAGATGGGAATGATTGTTAGGTTTTTCAGCACAGTAAAGAAACAGGAAAGATAAAAGTGGCCTGTATTGCAGGCATGGGGAAGATCACACAAAAGGAGAGAGATGTGGAGTTTCCAAGGACCTGGCTGGGGAGAAGGAACAAAGGCTATAGGGGCCAGGATGGAGGTGGGGCTTACAGGGCGGCCTGCATGAAGTGGCAGAAAATGACTGAGCCATGAATGGGCAGGAGGTGGAAACATGGGAACAATATTCTGAAAAGGAAATTGGAAGTTGTAATATGACCAGGGAGGAGAAAGGTGGAGCATAGCACACGGCTTCCAGTGGCTTGCGCCATATTGGCTTGCTGCCATAACTCAGCAGAATTTATTAAGACAGAAAATTCATCAGTGATGTTTTCCTCTCTCTATGGGTTATTATTTCACTCATTTAATGGCTTCTTTTGCTGTGCAAAGCTTGTTAATACTATGAGATGCCCAGTTTTGATTCTTGTAATGTTTCCTGTGTGATCAGAGTATTGTTCATAAAGTCTTTCCCTATACCTATTTTGCCAAATGCATCTACCCGCTGTAACTTTCAACAGAGTCAGTGCTTCTGTGTTAGTATTTAGTTGATCAATTTGATTTTAATTTATTGCATAGTGATAGACATGGGTCTAGTTTTAGTCTTTGCCATCTGGACCCACAGTTGTTGTTTTCCCTAGAACCACTTATTAAGAAGCCATTTTTAGGGCTAGCCAGATAGTTGAGCAGACTAAAACACCTGCTTAGGCAGGTACAGGGACCAAGGTTCGATCCCTGGTATGCAGTGCCAGCCCCTCCCTCAGGGCTTACTGAAGCAGTGACTGAGACTGGGCATGGTGGCATGTACCTGTAATCCTAGTGCTTAGAAAGCTGAGAGCAGGAGGATCACTATGAGTCTGGTCTGTAGTGTGACCCTGTGGAGTACGACCTGACCCTGTATTAAATACATGAAAAAGAAGTCATTTTCTTTCAGTGAGTGTATTTGGCCCCTTTGTCAATGCTAATGTCACTGAGTGTGTTTGGACTGTGTTTTCAGATTCTATTCTGTTCCATAAATTTTTTTTTTTTTTTTTTTTTTTTTTTTTGCCAGTACTATGGTATTTTTATTGAACTAGCTTTGTAGTATAATTTGAAGTCAGGCATTCTGAGGCTCCCTGCCTTGCCTTTGATCCCCATAATGGTTTTAATTGTTTTATGAATCTTCTAATCACAAGTGAATTTTATTATTGCTTTCTCTAGTTTTAAGGGGCATGATATTGGTATTTTTATTGGGATTTCATTATATCTCTATAATAATTTTGGAGATATGGCCATTTTCTTTTCTTTCTGTTAGGAAATAATAGCTGGCTCCCCTTTTCATTTGCATAGAAATACCTACAAAATATTCTGATAGTGCAGTGTGCCCTCCTTAGGGTTCCAGGGATGGGATCAATTTTTATATCTGTTGTGGAAAGATAACTTTTATGTCTGCATACAATAAACACCCTCCTTAGAGACTGGAGCTATGCCAATGATTATGGTGGGTAATTTTGGAGAAAAATTTGAGGTGGGCCAGGAATGTCAATGAGTAGCAGAAGAGAGGAGTCAGTGCCCAAGGAAGAGAAACTAAATATGAAATGTATTGAAACTAATTATCTTAGTGACTTTGCAGATAAAACAGTGGGTAGACACTTGTGGAAACAATCTAATAAATGTTCTCATCTCAGACCACATATCAGGGCTTATCCCTTTCCCTTTCTCTCTCTTTCCTTTCTTCTCTTCCTCCCTCTCTCCCTCATTGCATTGCTCCACCTTTTCCTTTGCCCTCTCTTTCTTAATTTCTCTTTTTCTTTGTTCCTCTCTTTTTTTTCTTTCCATCTTTTCTTGAAGTATTGCAAATGCTCAGTAATTCCTTTTTTTTAAATCTATTTGGTTGTTACAGGGTCTCACTACACAGCTTGGACTCATGGTGATCCTCTTGCTTTAAGCCTCCCCAGTGCTGGGATTACAGGTGTGTGCCACCATCCCCAGATTCTGGCTGGCCCAGTCCTCCTTGGGGGCTAGGGATGGCTTGGCGAGTGGTGCAGGAGATGTAACCATGGTTCTGTCACTTGTTTAAGCTTACCTAAGCAGGTGCTTTACTCCACTGGGATATCTCATCAGCCCATGATCAGTAATTCTTACTTCTTATTTGGAAGATATTTATTTATTACACATCTTATGAAAATGGCTAGTGTTGACTTTTTCTCTTGAGATTTCTTAAAAGGTGTATTTGAATGAGATTATTTTAACTTTCCACTTAAGCACTGTGTCAATTTAGCTCAACCTGAGTTGAACATTGAGATGGGAATTGGTCATTTTAAAAGTCCATCACCTATTTCCCTGTCAAAGTTAATATTTTCTTCACTATAGAAATGAGGATCAGTGGTGATACTATAACTTTCATATCAGATAGTTATTTCTTATTTGCAGGTTTTAATGCAAAATTTTATGGAGACCTACACTTACTGTATCTCGCATGAAGATATCTAGAATATCAAATCTTATTATTTTAAAAATGCCTAAATAATAATTTCAGATCCAAAGCTGAGCACTTTCCAAGCCTCCTCATGGTGTATACGGAGTGAACATGGGCTTTGAATTCATACACAGCTAGATTTGCATTCTAAGTTTGAAAATTACTGACTTTTGTTTGGGAAAGTTATTTATGTTTGCTAAGGGATCATAGTAGAGAGGTTAATAGAAAACATTTTGTTAAATTCAATTGCCTGGATTCAAATCCTGATTCTACTTTTCAACTGCTATATAGTCTTGGGCAAGGTATTTATATTTTCTGCATTCAGATTCCTTGAAAACAAAATGTAGATAGCAATGATAATTCCTTTTTGTGATTATTGAAAGAAATAAATGAGTACATATATATAAAGGTTTATAACATTATACAAAAGATGAAAAGAAATATATTTCTAATTTTCTATGATTATCATGAAGTCACATAATAATGGCACATCTGTGTTCTGTGTGCACACTTAAATGAACTGATTTATATAAAGATATCAAATGATATATCAAATGTATATAAAATGTAGGATATATAGTAATACCTCAGTTCATGAATGATTCTGTTTGTATACAATTTGTTTTTTTTCCCATAATTTTATTGAGAAACAGATAGCAATGAGACAGTTTCAAACCAAATTGGTAGGACAGTTTCAATAATTAACACATTGCATATATTCTTCCTAGTGGTTAATTGCTGTACAAGATGCGGACTTGATATCCTATTTACAAACACCATTAGAACAAATCCCTCTATTCATTAAGAGAATATAACTATATATCTATGCTAACCACTTTGAATACACAGATATAAAATGGACATTCATCTGTATACCCTTTTTTTGCTAAGTTCCGTTATTTGAATATTATAGATGTGTAAACTCAGCAAAATATTCTAAAAGAGTCCAGTAGCCCATAATAGCATTGGGACTTCTGTTTAACTGGCAAACGTCATAAATTGTTGACCTGAGTCCCCCACAGCTCAACATAACAGCATGGCTTTATTTCCTATATTTCATCTTCATACTTTTCTACTGGATGGTTAAGACCAAGGCAAAGCAGGACCTATGCAACAAGAGTTGTAGCTTTTTGGTCTGAGAAGGTCAGTGAAATGCCCTCAGGATTTATCCTGAGATCCTGTACCTCAGATTGTAGAAACTTTGTCAGTGCAGCCATGTGGATGAGTCATGGCCACTGCCCGGCCAATGTGCTATCTGTGAAAGCCTGAGAGGATATTTTCTCTCTATGTGACTCTCCTTAGGCACACTCTACATCATGGATCACTTTTCCCTTTGGCCTCATAATCTCCTTGATCAGAAAATCTGGGACACTACCAAGTTACATTGCATGCAATTTGGTTTCACAACAGAAGCTTTTCACAAAATTTTGCTTCCTTTCAGGAGCTCTGTATCTCATGAGGAGCATGACAACAGTCAGTTTTTTCTTTTTTATAATCCCAGAATGAATTCAATTTTTTCACTGTGGTAACAATGTACATTTCTTTTTCTTTTCTTTTTTCAGCTTATCCTATGTCTCAGCACACTCTTACAACCACAAATGAATCTGTCAATAAAAATGCTAATCATTCTTAAATGATTAAGGAGTTTTCCCCAGACATCCACATCATTAACTTATGTTTCAGTTAATTTGGCCATTTTATTTCTTTATTTATTGGTTTTAAATAATAAAAAAAATGATAGAAAAAAAGCACCATTAGAAATGATACAAAAGGGCTGGCCAGATAACTCAGCATACTAAAGTGCTTGCTTAGGCAAGAGCAAGGACTGGGGTTCATTTCCAGATATGCCATGCCAGCCTTGACCCTGGGGAACACTGAGAGAATGATTGGGACTAGACATGGTGGCATGAGCCTGCAATCCCAGCACTTGGGAGGCTGAAAACAGGAGGATCACTATGACTCTTATCTGTGTAGTGAGACCCAGTAGACCTTGTACTTAATATATATAAAAAAACCTATACAATATTTCACTTCATTTCTTTTTAAATTTGTTTCAAAATTTAGAATTGATACATTCTATGCATTACATATTTATGGGGTACAATGTGATGTGTGAATCATATATAATTTGAATATTGTCATAAATTCATGGCAAATTAACATGTCATTCACATTAAATTTTAGTAATTTTATTCATGGTCAGTAATCTCAAATTTCGCTCTTTTAAATATTTTGGGACATATAATGTATGATTATTAACTATATTCACCTTGTTGTACCATAGTAAATCAGAATTTAGTTCTCTTACCAAACAATATTATTGGGGCCTAGGAGATGGCTCAGTG